AATACAGCAAACAATTCATTAACAAAATACATAGACTCAAATCACAACACAGGAATGCGAATAGCTATAGGGGCCTTAAAAAGCAGTCCAATCAAAAGCATTTACAACATAGCGGAAGAACCAACACCGGATCTAAAAAGAACTGAATTGGCACTTCTATATGCAGCGAGATTATCCAGATTAACAAATAACCCAGCATCAGAGAAAAAAATAACACTAGAACTTCAAAATAATCAAGATTACTCCAAAATACCTCAAATAATAAAAAAATAAAAAAGCGTCTAAGTCGTGGATTTCGCTCTGCTGTACAGTAAGTTACAACTTACAAGTGTGTTACTGTAATGGATGGAATTAAATTTGAATCCAATAATATTATATCAATGTATACAAAAACGATTCTGAGCGGAGATGGTTTATCAGTTTATCTGTCTAGGATATATTACAGATTATTAAAAGTTTTCAAATCTTAGATTTAAAAAGAAAAACTTTTACGAATTTCTAGCATAAAATAATTTACGAATTTTCGTGATTTTTCCGTATGTTGTCAAATTAAAACTTTGAATGCTTTTAAAAAAAAATAGTGACTATGCATTTTTTTTATTTTTCAACTGCTATTGTAAAAATATGTTAAAAGCCTTGTATTAAATTTTCAAGATTTTTTACCCACCAAATAAATTTTTATTGATATTTACAGGAAAAAAATCATATAATGCCTATATAAATATTCAGTGAAAACGTCAAGTATCTGAATATACTAGAATATACTTATATAAGAATTCGATGAAAATTTCATGTATGATTGGTTTCAAAAACCAAAATCGATTTTGTCGAAAACTGATTGTGCGTAGCGTAACCTAACCTTAACCTTAATTTTTAGTTTGTTTATCCCGATTATTTAGAAAAATATTAAGAATTATTTACTTTTGACCCAAAGTACCAACTAGATTCACTTTCTGATCGAACAAGGCACTGAAGTCAAAAATTGAAGCACTCTTACTGCCCCAAAACGTGATGACGGACACAAAAAAAAAAACACATCATGGTAAAATCAATACATTCATCGCTCCGTTCAGAATCTAAAACAGTACAGTAAAAAGATG